TATATATATATCATTTTGTGAACCTCTTTATTTAAAACATCACATTATTTCTTAAAACATCTTATTTCCACAGATACATAGTGAAATTAAGAGTATACCAACCTGCAACACAACATGAGATAAAAATATAATTTTAAGCCTTCTGCCGCATTGAACCCTGCTAGAAATCCTAATTATGAGTATTCCAACAGGCATTAAGAATCCGATGGAAGCCCATAGAAGAAAAGCATGGAGTTTTACTTGAAAGTTGAGTTCAGAACTGAACTGCAAATCAACAGCAAAACTCATCAGAGAAACATAAAATCATGATTGTAAGCCTTAATAGCTTAAACAAAGAAGATTATATAGGATTACCTTCAGTGATGAATGATGAACTGGAGTTGATTTCAGCATTCCTTTTCTTAATCCAAGCTTGCAGCAGATAAACAAATCTAGAACTATATAATAGCTAATATGATTTAAAATCATAATATAAATGGAAAAAACTGAAGGGAAGAAAAGAGGTGGAGAGCTTGGAGGGGGAAAAGAGGCATTTAAATATGGAGAAAGATTAGATTAATAAAAGGTGTAGGAAAATGAGTGTGGACATGAAATGAGAATCTGTGGTTGCAGAGAGCACAAATGCAAAAGGTGGATGTCCTCTCTGCTTAAATAGATATTCTGTATCTGTTAGTCAGAGTAATGGGGCAAAAGAGAGGAAAGTGAGAGTGCTAGTGGGGTGCAGGATAGAGTTCGTTTGAGTAATCACTACTGGAGAGTAATATTTATATACATACCATATTCTATTTATTTAGATTTGTAAGACCTAAATTTATTTTTTTAGGTTTATACCACCGAAATCTTCCTTATCACATTAAAGATATTACTATTGATATGCCATCAAAAAATTCTCATCATCGGGCATGAATCTCGAGGAATGACATTAGTTTGAGATAGTTTTTTGAGCAAGAAATATTAAAATCCTGATAAAAAATCATCCAGAGCTCCGATTTCAGCAAACTTATTGTCAAACTGACCGGCTCGATGAAACGGACCCAATGATGTCAAAATTAGGCCGATCATAGTCAAATCAATTCATTAAACCACCCTTGAAAGTTTTTCGGACATAATTAGAATGTCAAATGAATGTCGAATCTAGCAAGATTATAGTCGAATCGATAGTCTAGACAAGACGAATCCAGCGAGTCTACAATTGCTCAATTCTGATATCGCTAAGGCACTCATGTCCATCAAAAGTCGGCTAATCGAAATGAAGCTCTCCGGACTCCTCGTTCAAGTGATTTATATTCATACATTAATTAAACTCGTAACGCTATAAATAGAATCCCCACCCCTCTCACATGAGCGAGAGGAGAGCTTGAGGATTGATAAAGAACTTGAAGCTTTGCGGATGAGCCGAAGTCCAACACCACTCTTGTCACTGTCGATCGTCGCCGATTGCCTGGACCACCGCGGACGGCTATCGTTTATCGCCGACCACTATTGACCATTGTCGATCGCTGTTAACCACCACCCGTCGGCCTCCACCCATCGCCATCAGCTGCGGCCCACTTCTTAGAAGAAGATCATTCGCATGTCGTTGTTGTAATTTGGAAGACTTTGTAACCCTTTCCTACCTATGGGACAAGGGAACTTTGTAATCATCAACTTATAATAGATTATTACAGCTGGGTTAGACTTTGTGGTTTTTTCACTTTACGGATTTTTCACGTAAAAATTTTTAGTGTCACTACTGGTTGTTTCATTTTATCTGAGTGTGTCTTGAATTCTCGCGCAACACTAAGAAGTTAATTTATTACTCAACCGCCGCAAATTTTCTAGCACGCATCAACTATATTAATTTTAAAAATTAAAATACTCATTTTAATACCTAGGTAGAATTGACATGTATGTAAAATTGATTTTGAGGTGCAGGTGCTAAATGTGTGTGTTAGATATATATATCTTTATTCATGTTCGACTCATTGGAGAACAAATCAAACACGAGCTTCTGAAACAACGGACCTGAATAAATATAGTTGTTTCAGAAGCTCGTGTTTGATTTGTTCTCCAATGAGTCGAACATGAATAAAGATATATATATCTAACACACACATTTCGCACCTGCACCC